ATATTTGTCACAACATTACACTAATTTACTTTAAGGTTTACTGAAATTCACTCCTGCTTTCTTGAATAAGTCTTAAAATTAGACAAAATTGTTTAAGAACATAATTTTCCTCACACTAAGTATGTCATTCACACCCATCTCAGTGCACATGCCAAATATTTGTTTTTATTACAAACATTTTAAAGCCACACGTGACCTAAGAAAAAATATTATAACAGGAAGATGAAGATTTAATGTTTACCTTTTCTGATAAACATTTCAAAGTTTTATGATTAGTTTACTTCAAAACTTAATGCTGGAAACTGTAGCACTATTTCAGGTTTTGCCCCTGAAGAAGAAAGGTTCACCTTTCGAAAACACTCGGGTTATAGGGTTTTTATTCATTTCTGTCAAGACTTCTTGAACCTACGTGTTTTTCTAACACCATGAAAATTAATACAAAGGGTCAAATTCACACTTTTATTTTTTGGTAGATAATTGACACTTTTTGGGAATCAGCCTGAAAATTAATTGCACGGTGAAAGGGTTAATAACTGTACCCACGAACAAATCTTGGGGACAGGACTGAGCTTAAAGGGAGAACCTTCCCCTTTATCCCTTGAAAAGAAAACTCCTTGTCTTTTATACAGCACCTACTCTGGCCACATTTTTTCTCACAAAAACTATTTACTACATGCTTGTTATGAGGTATTTTAGTTCTACAGACATGACTGGATTCACACTACTAATACTGAGAATAGTATGATTGCCTATGCTTTTATTATAGGCTTTAAACTGGTGTGGAAGAAAACAAATAAGTATGTAAACTAACATCAGGTTACTGTAATCTGGCGACAGTCCCACAGTACTTACCTTTTATACCCTTTCTTCTTCACTGTTTCCATAATTATTTCCAATGTTAAATAAGTAATGGGCATAGTTTGTTTTGGCTGGAGGTTAATTATGGTTAATGTCCCACACAGACCTATAATTTAAATAGAGCATAATATTTTTATGTAGACCTAACACTGACAGTGACAGTTATGTTTCAAATACATGTAAGCTAATAACATTACTAACATGCTTTTCACCATTACTTAAGAAAAAAAATTAAAAGCCACAATTTAATTTTTTAAGAAATAAAAACACACACGACCCCTACTGCCACTAAATAAACTTGTAATTTTTTAATCTGAACTCTAAAACAAGAGTCTAAAATGTCTTTCCTAAAGCTAGAAGACCTTCCAGAATTGACGTAAGAGCCCTAACATTGTGAAAAAACAATCTTGACACAAGCTAACACTTTGGAGAGTTTGTCACATAAATCTGTAAGATTATGGGACCCCACACTGGAATTAGTGCTTGATGTCTGACACTTGATTAATTGATTACCCATTAGCATTGAATACATTAATTAGTGTCACGTACAATAACCGATTATTGTAATTAATATAATCAACTAGTATTTCCAATTGTTTTAACTATCCAGTAATCATTTAAACTGATTATCACAAAAATAATCAACTAATCAAAATTAATATTTCTGATTACTACTGTTTTCAATTAATCAAAATATACAGTAATTGAAATTATGATTAATGTCATGAAAATAATCAAGTATTAGAAATAATTATGTTTTTTTTAAATTCACAAGTTTTTATCAGTTGTACATAGTAAAACTTTTGTTTATTTTATTCACAACGTTTCACCAGGTGGGAAAGAAGAACTGAGACTTGTGTGAATAATCAAACTAATGTTTCTGAATATTCCAACTATCCAGTAACTGAAATAATACCATTATGATTTTTGATTCACAAAAATGAGGGCCGGCATGGCCAGGTGGTTAGTGCGCTCGACTCGCAATCTGCGGGTTCGAATCCCCGTCATACCAAAAATGCTCGTGGGCGTATTATAATGTGACGGTCAAAGAGTAAAAGAGTATCCCAAGAGTTGGCGGTGGGTGGTTATGACTAGCTGCCTTCCCTCTAGTCTTACACTGATAAATTAGGAAAGGCTAGCACAGATAGCCCTCGTGCAGCTTTGCACGAAATTCATAAAAAACAAACACACTTTGTAATTGGTATCCTGAAGCAGTATTGCTACTGTCAGGTTTTGTAGGCCAGATTCTTTATAGTAGGTTTTTGTGATTTGTTAGCAACAAAGTCCACTTGTTTTAAATTAACATATTAAAACAAGTCAAACGTATATTCAAATGTTCATTACATTGTTGGTTATCAGAGTTGTATCCAGAGCTTTAAATACCTGTTTCTTTTTCATCAAAGTCTACACAGGCTGGCTCAATTACTTCAAAATACAACTTACGAGACAGATTATTATTCTCCTTTGCTTTGTTATTACAATACAGTCTTGATAATTTCATTTTAAAAATCGACACAATACCTTTTTATCACTAAACTCACAATCACAATTTGTGAATTTTGTGTGAACAGTCATGCAATTGTTTAAGCTATATTTCATCTAAAATTGCTTCCAGATTTAATCTCATATTACATGATATTGGTGTCAATAGCAATGATTAAGATCAAAACCAAATTAATGAAATAATACTTGTTTAGAAAAGAAACACATACCTGAAGTGATTAATCTAACAAAGAAAGTTTAAATGACGTAAATTCTATGCTATTTCATTAAACCTAATGAAGTCACTTATGGAATCCTCCTCTTTAACTTCCAACTACTTAAATAACAAAGCTCAATCCACAAGCAGTCGAATAATAATCCCTAATTTTGGCTCCATTTTTCACCTTGACGAAGCCTTTCGTTCCTGAATCCTCTAGCATTGAAATATTTCAGGGCAACATATTTTTTACTTCATATTATTATATATTTCATTATTTATATTAATTTTCATTAAAGAGATAATATTAACAGATAAAGTACCGCGTCTTAACAACCTATGTAGAGCAATGCTTTCCAAACTGAGTATCGCGGAAAGTTGCTAGAGAATTTCACCAAACCAAGATTAATTAAATACATTAAAAAAAATCTACAAAAAATACTAATACAAATGCGTAAATCAAGGTAAGGGGGTTAGGGTGTCGTCAGTGAAAATAGTTTGGGAACCACTGACCGAGAGGGTAGATTTATGTTATGAGATGTAGAATAATGTGAAATCAATGCCCATTAGTTTCGATTATTTAGTAAACTGGAAACTAAATTGCCTTTAAATGATGAAACATCTTCAAAGTTAATGCCAATATGAACTGCTAACTTAAAAATATTGTATAACATGTTGTAACTGGTATGAAAATACATAGGTTAAATCGGAAAGAAGCTGTGTGAGAGTGAGCGAATTCTTTGAGAAATTCGACATCCAGCAACACGGCGTATTCCATTGAGTGAAAAAGTGGAACACTTTTCCAATAGCAACCTCCTCCCCACCACCTCCCACAGTGGCTCAGCTGCCAGCAGTAAGTCTCTGGGCTTATAACCCTAAAAACAGGGATTGTATATCTGTCATGGGCACAGGACAGATAGTTCACTTTTTATATATTTAGGTCCATATGTCTTTGCCCCTTTACTTACTAATGTTTATCTTTTCTTTCTTTTTTGTAACTTCATCTATCTTTAATGTCTGCAGAGTTCACCTTCGACGAAAATACCTACATTAAATAGAGAATTAAAGTATTTATCTAGTTATTCTGAAATACATTTTATCTGAACCATATTTAAACGTTTCACAGTATAGATATACATACATATATATATACTAGTGAAAACAAAGGATGTTCACTCTTTATCCAAGCAAAGTACTTTCAGTCAAAAATATAATAACCCTTTAAAGTAAAATAAATGTAGATTTTTTTTTTAAGTACTTACATGTGCTGCATCGCATCTTTTATCACCTCATATCTTCACTGTTTTCCTCCTTAATTTTACACATCTTCAAAGTTTTAAAGTTATTTTGTTGTCTTCAGATATGTATTGTGTTCTTCTCGGTCATAATTAAGATCTTTTATATTTTTGACTTTGTTTTTAGCCTTCTGGTGGGTCATCAGTAAGTCTAAGGGCTTATAACTCTACATATTGGTTCTGATATCCGCAGTGGGCTGAATTAACACAGATAGTTCTTTGTGTAGTTTTGTGCTTAAAACAAAACAAACAAATATACAATTATATTGAATATTGCTTTAAGCTATGTTTCAATGTTTTAATTTATATAATTATTTGTTAAAGGAAGCTAGTCATTACTCCATGATCTAGAAGCTTCCTGTACTAATTAGATATAAAAAAGTTATATATTGTTCTATTGTTGAAAGGGTTCCTTTAGTTTGTTTAGTAAATATAATGTCAGGTCAAGTGCACGTAACAATAACGAATTATTTTATTTCTTTTATAACTTTTCTACAGGCTACGTTCATTTTGACAAAATTTGTAGACCTAAGTTCACGTTTCAATAAAAATTCCTCATTAATGCTATTATGCCTAACTTACAAATAAATTTACTTGCACAATTCCACGACTAACCAATCGAGTAATTGAATATATGTAATAACTGTCATTGCTAACGCTGAATAGCTTCGTGACATTAAACTGACTTACTGAATACTTCACTAAAATCTTATTAACTCAATGCTTCATTGATTGTCATATTCATAATGTACCCACTGTTTCCACATATCCTGCTAACCTTCTTGATTATTACATGATAATGAACTTTCTAGATATTGCACTATCATCATGATTAGCAACTCCCTCAAGCAAATATATAAATTAAAATATTAGAAATATAGATTACAACACTAACCACTTCCTGGAATCTGAAGCCATTTGAACAATCCTGACACACAAATAAAACACTATACTAAACTATCCATTCACCAAGTCTTTTTGGTGGCTTTATTGTCTGAGTGTTAAAGTATACAGATGGGATGAACTCTTGTCTCTTGTCGACACTTGTTGTCCTGCCACTGAGGGAGTTCTCCATGAGTAGATGGTCAAGCATATGCACTGGTGGCTCTCTCTCCTTGGTGATAATCTGAAACTGGTCTCGATGGAACATTGAACTATTCAGCAGGTTGACTTTTTGCTGGAAAATTCCTCTCTGAAGTTACATAGCTCGCTATCTTCTCACAGAAGTACATCCAGTGATGATCATGGTGGATGATCCGTGGATTGGACTGCCTGTCCTTCTGGGTTCTGTAAACCATGTCATCACTAACTATTTTCAATCCAACAAAGATAGAATATTTTACAACAATATATTAAACTATTGTAATAGTGTTAAAATTAAATTTTGCAAATAATCTTATGTTGATTAATATAGAATGATTTTGTGTGTTATAGCTTATTTTTCTCAGAAGCCAATAAAATAAATGAATTACGAAATTGTAAGCTTATAGTACAATGTTTTCTCTTGGCTTTCAACCACAACTAATATATTTTTATCTGATATCAAACTTTGCAGTATGAACTAGAGGGCTGAAACAAAATGTTGAAAATAACGATTTAAATAACTTCTGAAAATATAATAATGTATTCATATCACACATTTTGGTATACACATTTGTCAAGAGATCACACAGTGTCGCACATTACAAGTAATGTCTGGTGTTTGAATTACAATATCTTGTAAAACTTAGCTTTGTGAACCCTTGAAAAAGGTGTACGTCGAAATCCTGTATTTAAATAAATTATTTTATGTGTCATTTCAAGACAGGTTCAATTGAAAAATATATTTGTGGAAAAGGTGGCGTTTTGATCGAGATAGTATCATGGACGAACTATCTCCTGAAATTTTAGCTAATATATTTTCATTTTTGCCTGCGAAAGATGTGGCTTCAGTGTCTTTAGTTTCCCGAAAATTATATGATTCCACCAAAATAGAAGCTATATGGCGATCACGATGTCTTAGAGGTAAGGTTTTATCTCACAATAAAATGTTTTAAGTTTTACGTTTAGCGAAATTTTTTATTAAATTTTAAATGTTTTTAGTTTTTTAACTTAATTTAACTTTTACGGCTTATTCAACAAGATATTGATAATAAGATTTAAAAATAGGAATACGGTATATTGTATATAAAATTAAAAGTATGGTTATGATGAAGAAGAAAACTCCAACTCTCCATGTTTATTTTTTACCTGCGTGGGTAGTATAACTTCTAGGTAGGGAATATAGAATATGTAAAGAAAAATGTTTTGTAATTTTATAACAGATTTTTTTTTATTTTTCACTGTTGTTACCGAGGCTGTTTGGAGAAAATGTATGCTTTTAAAGTTATTTACTCTTTATTCATGTAAGCCAAAAATTAACATTTGAGGCCTTCTCCTTCATGATAACCACTGTACTTCTGGTTATGTACTATAACATACTATTATACTTTGAATTTTTATACTTAAAAGTCTTGCAATTTTATGATTATCAGTTAGCGATGTTGATACTGGCAATGAACTTGTGAAGACCAAAGCTTGAAAAATTTGAAATTATCAATGAGCATGCTACACTTGTTTTTATGAGGAAAGAAAATCCATAAAAGTGAAGAAAAAAAAGTTTTACAAGATGAAATATTCAGTAAAAGCATTTAGTTTTACAAGTAAGTTATGGGTTAATTCACATGTGGGAAACAAAAAAAAATTATTTCCATGCATAAAGAACTGTGGAATGTGCATAAGGTTTTGTGCTTTTGTCATTACGGACAGTGCCAGCTTAGTCTTAGATAATCGATATGATCGTCAAGAGACATTGGACCTGATTATTACACTAAATAATATTAGAACTATTACCAAAGGCAAGTACTTTCCCAGTTTTCAGAGGGTAGCTTCAGTCTTGTGTTACTTGATAACTCTCAAAATGTGATTTCTAACCAATAAGTATTCCAAGTATTTTATTTTTAAAGAGAAATAACAGTTTATGAATTAATAGCTTGTGGTTAGAGCAGTATGTCATACTTGAGATATGCTACGATTATGTAATTATGTATCTGAAGGTATCGAGGCTGTGATTTATCTGTGTACATTTGGTTACGAGTTTATGAATTCACATTACAATCTATGCCATTTATTTGTTATGTTGTCTTAGTTTTTTTTCTTATACGTTTATGCTAACCAGAGGCATCGCTAGGTACTTAAAAGATTCAGGGCTCAAGCCCATAGGTGCATGAATTTTCTCCGTTTTAGTATGATATCGATCACGGTTTTCTATTCTGATTTTTCAAAACACCAACTGGAGATTTGGGGCACTGTCAACTAGAATCATGGAATGAGTCCCATGTGCCAGTGCCTAGCGATGCCTCTGATACTAGCATTAGCTTACTTACAACTTTCTCCGTTTTAATATGATATCGATCACGGTTTTCTATTCTGATTTTTCAAAACACCAACTGGGGATTTGGGGCACTGTCAACCACAATCATGGCATGAGTCCCATGTGCCAGTGCCTAGCGATGCCTCTGATACTAGCATTAGCTTACTTACAACTTCTTGGTACTATAGTGTTTTAGAATTATGTCATTTAGTGACAAATTACTCAACAGGTAATGTCCTACCACTTCAGTTTGTGGATTACACAGCCTTATACTCAAAAACTTTTAGTGCAAGAGAATTGTGTTAGATGTCACTTTATTGGAAATTCTATGAGGATTTTATAAATGGTATATAAAATATCCTTGAAAAACCAACAGCAAAATTGTATCTCAATAAACTTTTTGGGCCTTGGGGGTGAAACGAAAAAAATAAAAATCTGAAAACTTTACATGGAATTTTCGGTGTTTCTGTTCTGTATCACAAAGTTACTGGTGGGTAATATTCTTCATTTGCTGTGAAAAATACTAAATATGTTTTACCCTTTCCATCCCCGAGAAATCTGAATAATGTTTCGATAATATGACTTATAAATAACTGGAATGTCAACATGTGGCCGATTTTCTTCCAGACAAAATTCACACCTTTCAATGTTGTTCCTCAGGCTCCACAGTTTCTTGGTCCTTCATTAGGTTTTGATCCTGGATGTCATAATCTCTTGTGGAAGATAAAGTGAAGCTTAGACTCACATACTGTATAACGTGTTTCCAATGAATATCCAGCAATTTTCAACTTTCTCTGACCAATTCTACTGATGTAACTTCTATTATGAGCATATGAATGAAGTCTAAAAGTTTCCAAATTCTCAAGAGTGACTTCAGTCCAGTATGTTTGTGCATAAATCCAAAAAATAATTCCTCTTTTTTTTCAGAAGTGTTATCTTATGGTTTGGATTTATCTGGTATATTTAAGGGTACTTGCACACTCTTGTAACTTTTTGTTATGGTAAAAGTCTGTCTTTATTTTCTAATGGAATTGTTCCCTTTACTGTTTTGCTGTTTATTTATTATTATGTATGTTTAATTAATCAACAGTTTTATGTTAAAAACATTATGACTCTTATCCTACTTGGATAGGTGACTGCTAAAGAATTGTTTTACCTAAATCAGCTGCAGTCATTTTAATTGGCTACAGTAGGGTGCTTTTGCAATGTAAACTTATTATATGTAGCAATATGACTGTTGCATGTAGCATCAAATATATCTACAAAAACAGTGTGCAGTTTTTATTTTTATTAAAATTATAAAAACATGATTACTCTGCTACTACATAATGTATTTTTAAACTAGGTGTGGATGTTTTATATTTCATTTATATGTATTACCTGTAAAATAAAAGGGTTTTCAATCAAACATAAACTAGTAGTTATGGTGATATCATCAATAAATTGTGCATGACAGTTGTATGGAAGGTTTGAACGTTCGTTCAGTAATGTGTTCCGAACCTTCAAAGACCAAAACCTACCCTTCATTACAGCTCTACTTTCCTGCAAACTTTTTTTTTAATAACTGTATTACAGTACTGATGATAATTCAGGCAAATGAAACCCACAGAAGTACCTATACCAAAGAAACAAAATAGTAGGACAGACAAAAACCTCTAGAAATCATGCTGATATTTCATTTAACCTGTTTTGTAGTGGAACTAATAAATGTAGGTTTGTAAGTAATCTTGATAATATTTTCATGGAAGAAAAAAAAATCCATCAGTTTTCCAACAATCCTGTACATCTCTGACATTTAAAATAATTATCTCTCAGGTCTGTATTCAACATCTTTAAAATACTACGTCCAAGGGCTCTATTGTCTAGAAATGAGTACTTTACCCTTAGAATTACAAATGGAGTCCATGGCCCTCATCAGATTGTTAGACACCATTTTATTAACTATATATATATACTCCAAATTGCAGGTGTGTCCATTACTTTAATGATTAAACGGTCCATAATAATATGGAAGTCACACAGAGGTTTAAACAAAAAAATACTATGAATTATGCAATTAATCTACTGATTACTACTTTTTCCCTTGTATATATTTTATGCAGATAATGAGAGATTTCATCCTGTTGTTTTGTAAGGTTGTTTAAAGTGAGTGTTCTAATAGGCAACATGTGGACCTCACCGATAAGGTAACTGTATGTTTTAAAAACAAGATTTGATTCCAGTGTCCTTGGACACTACCAACGAAGCTATTCACTCATCAACCTATAGTATACAGTCAGTAAGATGTTTTTATTCCTGAGCTGTCCTATAATCCCCTCTTTTACTTTGTTCTTCCTGCTTGTGTGCAGGAAGTATTTTATTACCCAAATATAACAATTGAAACAACATGTAGCTGCAATTCATATTACATATCTGGATCTTTAAATTTGACTTGTTTAGCCTAATCTTGTTTACTTTTGTATACGAGTTTACATATTCTTTAGTATGTTTCAAGTAAGATTAAATTATAGGAGTGAGAATAGGGCCTATTGTTTTGATAAATGTTCTTAGTAGTTTATAACTTTTTCAGAATATGGTGTTCTTCCAATCCACAAAGATGGTATGTCACATCGGGAATTGTATATAAAAGGTAAAGTCCTCTCTAGAAAAGTTATCGTATTCTTACCAGGAAATTTTAAGTCATTTATGTGAAATTAATATGTAAGAATCTGTTAGTTAAAAGGAAGCATTAGTAATGCATGTTTTCCAAATTAAAATAAGCTTGTACTGGGATAAAAATTACAACTTAATATTGTATATATGTATTAAAATATTCAAACGACCAATGTTGTATAATACACAATTAAAATTTTATTTAAAAACCAGTCGGTGGTCGTAAAAAGACACTACATATTTCAACATCATTCACGTCATTCACAGGAGAGTAAAAAACAAATGCTGTGCAACATACAACTACAAAAAAAACATGGTCATGTGACTACTAGTTTAAATATTTAAAAAGATCATGTCATCTACTTATTTCCTGATTTTCTAACCCTTCATCCTTATTTAAGATGAAATTATTTTTATCATGTTTTATTATGTCTGTGGTTTCGTTAATATTATTGGATTGAGCCAGAATAACAGTTTTTTCCCACTGCATAACGTGACCATTGTAATTTATATGTTCAGCTAGTGTAGAGTTTCGCTTTTGTTTTTGACATTTCTCTTCTGTTCATTTACTCTACATTTTAAATTTCTTCTAGTTTGACCAGTGTATACACAACCACATTCACATTCAGTTTGTATATTTTTACATAATTAAATAATAGTAGTTTATTTATAAAATCTGAAATTTAGCCTGTTTTGTGAAATATGTTTTTTTTTTAATGATCTCAGACCCGTGTATGAAAGCTTACTGAAGTGACTGAATATTTTAAGAACTTTCTCAATACCCCTCAATGTTCCATGATCTGATAATTACCAATGGTGAGTGATCCCAAAAGGATGCATCAAATTGCAAGGGAACATCTCAACGAATTTCCCATAATGCCTTAAATATAATACTTTTGTTCCCCTTATGCTTTTCATTTTAAATGTGATGCTGTTTATGTCGGTTCATTCCAACAACTGTCTTTTTCTTGTGGAAATGATATTTGTTGAATTTGGAAACTGAGATTTTGTGTTCCACAGAGATTTGGAGAAAGAGAAACAGTATTATTAGCATTAAAAGTTTGTTTAAAAATGATGGTTGCATTAAACAGATGCTTTGAATTGTTCAAAATTACTTTCTTTGGATTGGACTTTACATTCACATAAACGTCACAATAAAAGTTTTTCTTGTTATTTACTATTGGTTATGTCAGATGTGAATTCCTCTTTTACTAAGACTTTATTTGTAGTGCATTGTATGCGATTCTGATGTTTATATATAACCTGTACCTATAACAGTGCTGTATCCATATGGAAATATTCTTGGCTTATGGCAACCTCAGGTGGCATCTTATGGAGGATTACTTCAAGTGAAGGTAATGTATGGGAGCTGTTGAAATTGTGCCTGTTTTTTAAGGAATAAAATATATTTTTATGAAAAGCAACAACTGAAAAAATAAGTATTTTCACATACGCTGTATGAATTCAAATGAAAAATAAACAAGTATTACAGTTATTTGAGTGACAGAGGTATTTAGTCTTTTAGATAGATAGAGGGACTTTACTGAGTAAGGAGTATTTCTTAAACAAGATACGTTATCCAGGCTTGAAATCTTTAACTTTTGTGTCAGCATTTTTTGAATAATAAGAATATTTAGTAAAAACTATCCAATGTATTATGTTGCCAATTATAATATCACTTAGAATAACAAACTATGGAATGCTATTCTACTTACAGTTTTGCTCTTAAGTAAGTTTTTGTTTTCATACAATAAGGAACAACTTTGAAACAATTACATAGGCCTGCGAAGTTAAACTTCATAATGTTGTTTTGGTTTTAATAATGGATTTTCCATAATTCAAATTTCAAAAATAATATTCATTTTTTTCAATCACGTAAGGATTCTTTACAAATTTGGAAGCAAAAAAAAACTCTTACTTATATCAAATTATTATTTCGTTTATCACAATGAATATTTTTTATTATTATGTTTGTTAACAA